TCGGATTTTCTGGGATAAATACATTTATACACTACCTTCTACTTACAACAGAAAATACAGGATTTTATCTGGATTACAATTTTGTTTATCTATACATTCCAAAAGCAGCAAACACATGCATTAATACTGGATTTTGACACATTACTTTCAAACTACTTTACAGAAAATATCGGATTTTCTGGTGTTTTACGAACCATACAAAACTTTTCATTCAAACATGCTTATGAACTCACCAACATTATATATGTTGACATTTTCAAAATAACTTGTATTCTCAGGGACTCGTTAAGCAGAAGAATCAACAAGAATATGAGATTTTGTTTTGTGTACTGTTAAACATCATACATTGAATGTTTTGGTCATGTAATTTAAAAGATTGTACTCGATGTAAACAATGGCAGTTGTATTATATTATGCATGGTGATGATGATGTTATGTTTCATTTATATTCACTGTAATGATATTTCAAGATGAAGTCACGCACAAGCCCCCGGACGTTTCCGTCGTCTGGTTCGGGGGTGTGACAGACACGAGCACTAGCCCATTTAGGGAAGATGTCTAAATTACTTTTATGTGCTAAATGATTTATGCTATAAGATGCCTTATATATGCTATTATTTGATCGGATCTATGGTCTATTGCCGACCGAATCTGGAAACTTTATGTGTTCATATTTCTAAACGTTTAATTACGGTATTAGAACTGGCATGTAACTTTTCAGAGTGATAAGGAGATTTATACGTCTGATTCCCCTATCTAAATTCTCGTCACTACACACCGAACGTCTGGATTTGGTGTATAGATCGAAATGGAAAGAACCCGCAGTGGAGTCAGAAATACCAATGCAAATGGAAATCAGCAACCTCAACCCCAAGTGATTGAGCAAATGCCTGTAGTAGCAGCTGTACCTGAGCCAATCACAATGGCTGGAGTACAGGCCATGATTCGGGCTATGATGGCCGAACAAAGGGAAGAGATGAGGCAGATGTTGCACGAAAATAGGGATGAACCTATTGTGCCCATTGCGCAACCTGAGCTGATCGCCGAACAGTCAGAGGAAGGAAATTACAGTCATACCGTGAGCCAAGTTGAACCCCCAGTGGCAAGAAGGAATGATCGGGAGAGGGGAATTGAAAGAGATGGACGTATGTATAAGAACTTCTTGGGTGCCCAACCACCAAGTCTTTCTGAAAACCCAAAGCCAGTGGAAATTATGGACTGGATCTCCGAGATTGAGATGGTATTTAAAAGCTGCAACTGCACCAATAAGCAAAAGACCGTCTTTGCAGTCAGATAACTAAAGACTGGAGTTTTAAGTTGGTGGAAGTTGTTGGCAGATACAATGCCACGAGGAGAAGCCATGCGGATGTCTTGGGAAGCATTCATGGAGCAGTTGAAAATGCAATACTGCTCAGAAATAGATCTGATAGACCTAAACAACGAGTTTCAGAACCTGAAGAAATGGAAGATGAGTATTGATGAGTATGCCACCGCATTCACCGATAGGATGAAGCTGTTTCCCTGCTTGGTACCTACTGAGTTCTCCAAGATAGATAGGTTTGCTAACGGACTGCCAAAAAACTTTGGCCCAACGGTCAAAATGGCAACTACTTTGAAGACAGCCGTTAGAGCAGCTAAGAATGTAGAGACCCAGATAAGAGAAAAGGGTCTAGAAAGAGATAAGGTAGGAGAGAATAGGAAGTTTGAAGGATCTTCAAGGTCCAACGAGAAGAGAAAATTCTCGAAGTCTGGAGGAGCAGGAGGAGGTGAAGCAAGATGGTGCGATAAGTGCAAGAAGAAACACTTTGGAAAATGTTGCGAGGAGGTGACATGTTTCAAGGGTGGAAAGTCTAGGCATTACGCCAATGAGTGTACATCCAACAAGAGGGTGTATTATGAATGTAACGAAGGAGGGCATATTTCAAAGAACTGCCTAAAGAAGAATGAAGCAGCAAGGCCAAATGCACCGCCAAAGCCAAGGGCATTCCAAATGATCCTCGACGAAGTAGATAACAATGCGAGGAATCAAGGATAAAGACTTCATATCCGAAGATCAAGATATGAAGTAGCCATAGTGACATGTGGTGTAGCCTATTATAGGAATAGTATAGGTTAAACTTGAACATTTATGTAATCGTTTCAAGTAATAATATAAAGCTTGGTTATGTTATCCGATGTGTTACATGATTATGTGAAATTCTTGTATGGTGACTTGGAGAACTGCGAGATAATACTTGGGACGAGTATGAGTAGGTGTGAATGGTAGTAGAGGTCTATACTACCAGAAGCACAGGACTGACACTTGGATCGGGAAAAGTCACAAGGTTACCAAGAAGCTAGTAATTGATTCCATTTTGTTCAAGTATGTCGTTACCATCATTTCGGTGAGGACTAAGAAGATGATTGTTATTCCGAAGCTAGTGGTCATATCAAATCGAGTACGACTAAGATGAGTATGTTACGTGGTTCAGAAAACCAAGATCGATGTAGCAGCTGACTTAAGCCATGAGATTGAAGTGAAAGAAAATCGAAGCGATCAATAAAAGTATTGTGATCGTTGTAAGAGCTTGTAGCTTGAATTACTACTTACTAGAATGTGATTATATCACATTAGATCATGAAGGTGGGTATCTTTCATTCTGGAATTTGACTCTAAAAGACCTGAGTCTAAGCGTTGCATCATACGATGAGAGATCATTAGAACATGACCCATCGATCTGTTACGATAAACGAAAGAAAGAACTTATCTTAAGTCTTTTAAGAAGAAGGAGTCTCCAATGAGGATTGATTTTGTAACTTGAAAGTTACAATTGAAAGTCCAATGTGAGATAGAGAGCTGTTGCAAGATTGAGCACCGCCTGCAGTCAAGAAGTCCAAGACTTAGATACTCATTCAAAGAAACATAGAAGTTACGGTTATAACCTAGGATGAAAAGTTAACGCATGGAGTCATTATACAAGCCCTGTTTTGTTGATGATTCCGAGACGTAATCATCCTAAGGCGGGGGGGGGGGGGGGATAATTGTAATGCCCGCAGATTCGGACTAGTCAATTTAGAGACGATAAGAATCAAAAATGACTTTTTGATAGAGGATTATTCAGAATAAATAATCTTAACTAAGTTTTAGTATATGTCACAAAGTTTCCGTACATATAAAGAACGCTGAAATCCGAGTTATAACGAAGAAGTTATGACATGTCGAAGTTTCGCGACAAAACTGGCACGACACCGGGAATCGTAAAAAGTGAGTTTACGATAAAGTACTATTTGGCGTTAGTGACCTAAACTAAAGTTGTAGAGTACATCTCTACCTACACGTGGATATAAAGAACGTCAAAAACGGAGCTCGTATGCAAAAGTTATGAGCTTCCGAAGATGTAGTTGTCTGAAGGCATGACACGTGGCAGAAACCCTAGCCGCCTCAAGTCCACGACGTGAACATTAAGTCCACAACGTGAAACTAGTCAAAGACACTAATCGAGGCTAGAAAACACGTGTTAAGTCTACGGGAGTGATGTGTTAAGATTCCACGACGTGGACATAAAGGCCACAACGTGGAAATGTCATTCGGACACCTTTCGAAGGTAGAACCTAGATGGCAAGCCTACGAAGTGATTCAGCCATCTGCCACGACGTGAACATATAAGTCGACGATGTGGACTTGCCCAGAACACCCTATAAATAGCAAGTTGCTGATCCCGAGCCCGACAATCACGAATCGCTGACGGTTTCTAGTTAGATTATATCAACTCACGCTAGTAAGGTGAGTGCATAGTTACTTTCATCTTACACATAGATATAAAGTATTTAATATAAATTACGTGCAATGTGTGCATATTATCTATGTCCTTGATATCTATGCTGGATGAACAATTTTATACATGTTTGAAATGATTTAAACTGTATATGTATTTTATATCTACAAATATGTTGGGTAAAACATGGGTAGATGAATTAGACGATGTGTGATGAAATAAAAATTGATGAGAGGTCTTGGTGTTTAAGATGATATAGTCATCTAACAGAGTATAGACAACGACCACAGACTATTCTAGACAGTCCAGTGGAACGTTAGCAGGCTCGTAACCTGTAGGTGTTTTTAAACGAGGTGTTCATTAGGCGTTTTTGAACTAGGTGTTCATTAAGTATTTTTGAACTAAGTGTGTTCACTAGGTATTTTTTAACTAAGTGTTTTCACTAGGTATTTTTGAACTAAGTGTTCACCAGATGTTTTGGACTACGTGTTCACTAGTTGTAATCTATAAACCCTGGCAGCGAAGGACTTCGTGCCTATTCCTTAGGACAATCCTTAGGAATAAATATTGAGGGATAGATGATTCTTAGGGAAGGTATTTAAGAATAAAGAAGATGATGGGGATGGATAATTGGGTTATTTGTTTGATGATGAAACATAATAACTTTATTATTGTGGGTTGAAAAACCCTATGTACTCAACAGGTTTCCCAACTTGACCCACTCAATTTATATGTATCACAGGTATCGATATGAAGTTATAGTACAATGATAGATTAAAGGAGATGTAAACCCTATGTACTCACCATGTTTCCCAACCTAACCCACTCAGTTTATTGTATCATAGGTATTGATATGAGCTACATTACAATGAGAGATTAAAGGAGATGTAAATCACTAGTGTAAATAACGTTTGTTTATGCTTATGTTTATGTATTGACAATGACATCCCAAAGTTTTAAATAACACAAACATACCTTTCTTCGGAATGATTTGATAATATGTTTATCATCTTTTTCTGTGAACAAATTTCATAACACTTTTCTTTAAAAATGAATAGTCTGATTTTCAAATAAGCATGAATAAAATTTTTAAAATGACCGTGAATTTGGAGATGTCACACACACACACACACACCACATATATATATATATATATATATATATATATATATCTATATATGTGTGTGTGTGTGTGTGTGTGTGTTTGTATACAAGTCAATCAATCAACTTATTCAAGAACTACTATGGAACAAAGACAAATTCATCCAAACCTTAATTATGCCTTAAACAATAACTTAAGCATGTTATTAACTACAAACACACATACATCTTGCTTCAACTTAATATAGAAAATACAAACTAAGAATTACTTTCAATAAACAAAGTTGGATACAATGGATCATACATAAAATAAAAGATCAAGCCTTGGAATCCATGGTCAGGATGGTGCTAAGATTCATCGGATTCATGTAGTTGGAAGTGCCACCAATAATTTGTTGCACAATAATTCTATTGGCCCTTTCTGAAGGATGGAAAGGATCCCAAAATGCATAGATGTCTCTGTTTGGACACAAGTTTGACATTGGTGTGCATAATCCAAGTCCATTGTATGGTCCTTGTCCACAACATGCTACTTTTGATGTTATAAATCCTGTACGACAAATAAATTAAGTGATCATCAAACTTTCAGAGATTATCTTATATGTATAGTTCAATAATATTTAGTTAATATTTTATCTTCTATGTAAAGTTTAATAATATTCAGTTAATATTTGTAGATGCTTACAATCATTTCATTATACCATTATCTTCATTCAAGTAAGTTAAGACAATGAATTAGTTCACAATAATTAGATTTTCAATTTATTGTGTAATTAACTTTATTCAATCTACCTAAACAGATTTATTTTCCGAATTTCAGTTATCATTTTAATATTTTTCTCATTAACCAATATATCGTTGGTTCAAGATGTCCATTTTAATATTACATAATGAATTGCCTAACATTAGTGAGTAATGGACATGTGTTTCTCTGATTGTTTGTTTACAGACTTTTCTCTATTCTCTAATGGTGAACAATATACTGCAAAATGCGCAATTTCCCACAGAACATTACCCATGGAAGTTTATATCCCATTAGAAATGCCAACAAATATATGTCACTAGTTTGTTGGAGGCCTAAAAGGAAGAAGCGGGATTTTTATAAAATTTTATAAAATAGGTTTTCACTTCTTATATTATTATTATTATTATTATTATTATTATTAAGGTTTTGAATTGTATAAGAAATATAATATCGATGATAAATATAATGAAATTAAATAATATAACAACGTAAAATGATATAATAAAATTTAATACCAGAAGTGAAAATAATTAATTTTCATATATATATATATATATATATATATATATATATATATATATATATATATATATATATATATATATACTCTAATAAATGAAAGTTTTTTTTTGTCACTTGTCACACGTTAAGTCAATTGCCAAATGTTATTCAAACTTCTCAAATTTTTAGAATTTTATATTTAATTTTTCTTTTAAATAAACCTATGTAATACATGGGTCTCATACCAAGTATATATATATATATATATATATATATATATATATAGGTAGGTTCAAATGTTTCTTCACATCTATTGTGTGCTAGAATGCACCAATAGAAATTAGTATTAATTATCTGTATATTAAATGCTATCCATACTTATAACTCATTTTATGGAAACTAATTAAATTCGTTATTAATGTCAACAATAATATTCTTTCAGAATAAATTCATATCTAGAAGAATGAGAGTGTATTCCAGCAGAATGAGAGTATATTCTAGTAGAATACACTCTCGTTCTTCATATTCCATGCAATTTTATTGTATTTTAAGTAAGTGAGTCTTGAAACAAAATACGAACTCATATATAAAAACCTAGATGCGAATTCATTCTGAAAGAATGTTATTGCTGACATTAATGACGGATTTAATTAGTTTCCATAAAAAGAGAATTATAATTATGGATATCATTTTAATATACTACATAATTATGGAAATCATTTAATATCTATATATATTTAATTAAATACTTATTTAATTTACTAAGTTCCTATTGGTGCATTCTAGCACACAATAAATATAAGAAACAAAATAATCTAACTATATATATATATATATATATATATATAGATATATATATATATATATATATATATATGAACATGCTAACACGTGAACATAAAAAATATTTCGGTATTTATGTTATTTTATGAACATTTGATTATATATATATATATATATATAATATATATATATATATAATACACTCTGATAAATAAAGATTTTTTCGCCATGTGTCAATCTCTTATAAGTTTTGACATTTATCATTTTGTGGTATTTTTTAAATAAATATTATCCACTTGTCAATTTCTTGTTTGTTTCAATTTTTAAAATAAAAACTCATATTTTTATTTATGTAAAGTATTAAATATAACAAATATGATATTAAATTGCAATTAGTATATTTCTTTATTCATTATTTTAAAATTTTACTTTAAAAAATATTTATTGTTTATATTTTAATGTTAATTTTTTTTAATTTATTCATGCAATATACGGGTCACACACCTAACATACATATATTATATATATATATATTATATATATTATATATATATCTATTATATCATATATATATATATATATATCTATATATATATACGTTGTATTCCCTCTAACTCTCTTCGTTGACTAGTCAGTTGGACTGAATCTCCATATATAGAGATGTCTTGGTTTACAATGCTAACAATGTTATATTACCTCCAACTGAATATATATATTATCTATATATATATATATATATATATATATATATATATATATATATATATAGAGAGAGAGAGAGAGAGAGAGAGGCTAGGTTCAAGTATTATAACTAATTATTGTGCGGATGTGTGGACAATGTTATTCTATGAGAATTAGTAAGAGAATAAGTTGTTTAGCAATGCGAATATGTTCAACCTTACAAAAATATCGTCATTTTCATGCATTCTCGCTAATTATTATTTATTTTTGTTCTCACACATCGTTTTTTCCCTTTTTTTCATTCTGACAGAATACGACTCAATAAACATTCTGACAACATTCTGACATAAATGAGAATAATAATAATAAGTGTATAATAACCTTATAAACGATTTAATTAGTGAGAATGAGTCTTAATGACAATAGTTATGTAAGATTGAACGTATTTATATTATCAAACAACATATTTTCTTTATCATTCTCAAAGAATAGGATTGTCCATACGCCGCCACAATAATTAGTTAGAAGAATAACCTAAGCCTATTATATATATATATATATATATATATATTAATATAATATATATTATATATCATATTAATCAGTATTGTAACTGGAGTAACTCGGATGAGTATTCGGACTCAGCTACTTACTGAGACGAGTGAAGCCAACTCGGTCAAATAACTCGGAATTTTCGTTAACCTCGGTCAAAATCGAACCAACTTGGACCAACTACATAAACTCGTTTAACCTAGGTCAACTGATGAAAATTGACTTAAAAGGAGAAAAACAATCAAAATTTTAAAATTAATATGCATATGTGTATTTTATGTAACATATTAACCCTAAAACTAAAAAAGATACCAGATAAAGGAATGTAAAATGCTCTCTCTCTCTCTCTCTCTTCAATACTTTCATGTTATTTACTTTTTTTGAAATATTTTACATTTAAACATGTATCTTTTTATTGATATTTTACATAGATACTATGATATGAATTTTAATAAACTTGTGATATTTGATATATATACTTTCCCCAAAACTAATTTCTTTTTAAAATACCGTATTCGACTATTTCCCTCAAGATCGAGTAGCCGGTACTTCCCAGTGGGTTGAACAAGTTAGGAATAGCGAGTTACACAACATTGATATATATATATATATATATATATATATATATATATATATATATATATATATATATATATATTTTAAAACTCAAGAACTTAAATATTTTTATTCCAAATAATAATTGAAATAATCAGACAAAAATATTATTATACAACTATTATGTTTAAGCGATTTGCAAGAAAAAAATATAGAAAAATAGGACTTGTTTTTCTGTTTATATGTTTACATATTTGTGTATTTGCGCATATACACATGTGTAGATGTTGTACATATAATAATAATAATAATAATAATAATATAATAAATAGTTCTTTTTTGTAAAAGAAGAAGTATATTTCTCTTACAGGCATACAAACAAAAAAGGAGTGTATTTATTATTTATCTTCGATTTGAAGAATTCTGTATAGAAAAAACTTATCAATTTCTTAGGGTTGTGTGTATATATAATTCATGTCAATGTTGAATGCTCGAAACCATTGTAAAACGTTAATAGATTGCAAAAACCTAACTTTGAATAATATGAATGAAGTAATTTCGTACCATAGGCTTGAGGATTAGATATGTAATCCATATGCATTTTCATTGTATTAGCGGCTACGAAAATATTACTACCCTTCTCATCATTGAGTCCTTTTAACATATCATTCAGTTGAGGGTTGAATAAATTGGCTGCCCGTTGCAACTCTACTGAACATTCTCCGGCTCTACTCCGTTGTGCCAATTCTGCCGGCACACATCCCATAGGTCCTGTGCCCATCACCAACACCTTTCTGGCTCCCACATCATACATTGTCTACATTTAAGAAAAAAATAAATGGATTTTGCAAAACCTTTTAATGGATTGTTATTTATAATAGTAAAAATTAGAATTCCAGTATTTGATAGGAAAGAAAGGATTATTTAAACAGAAAATACCCGTTTTTGCAACTTTAGGATAATTAACATATTAATGTTACTAAATCAATCAACCTATTTATATAAATAAATGATTTAAAATGAGACATTTTGACCGAAAAATAAATAATTTGTTATGAAACAAGCGCATAGGGGAGAAATGAGAAATCAATCATTATTGTTGTTTGTGCAAAACCATTAATATGCACATGAAGAAATGCAACCAAATATAGATATTCGCACCAACCACAATACACCTTTAAATCCATCATACTCCATCCTATGCCCCATTAATAGCTTTAATATTATAAAATATATATTCAATACGGAATATATAAATATTAAATGATTTATTTGTATAAAAACTAAATATTTCCTGATTTACTGGAAATCATATTAGGTTAAAAATAAATGAAAGTAATGTAGGTGATATGATTGTAGAATATGAACTATATATTCTTCATGTATAGAGTTACTATGACTGAAAATATTATTATATATGAATGCTGTACTTTTTTTGTTCAAATATATACACTTAAATATAAAAAGATATAATGTTTTGATCTATTTTAACATTGATGTTTGCAAAGTACCTCCTCTTCATACAATTAAAATGTTGAATTGTTTCCCCATAAATGCTTAGCCTTAACATGTTTTTAATTCGGTAAATAAAAATGATTGTTACCATATATAGCAAGAAATTTACCATTGAAATTTACCAAAAGAATGTTTCATTGTACCAAAGAAATTTACCGAAAGAATGTATCTATATTCAGAAACTACATAGCGAACATAATCTGGTAGAGAGAATTGGCGAGATCTAGCAGAAAGTGGAACAAGGTAGTAGTTGTTCACGAAGTCGTTTCCACCAAGGGATATGAGTGAGATCCCATTGCTGACTATCTCACGAGTTCGGTCTGGTCCAACAATATCTGTCAGTCGGACTTGGAATTGTTGGAAATACTCTAATTGTTTCCACATCCGAACTATATTTAACTGTGGGACATAAACATACTATTTATTAGTAGAATATTAAACCATGGTAATCTTTTATATTGTTGGAAACTTGGAAATACACTGATTATTTCCTCATGAGTTAGATGTGCTGCAATGTACATGAGGTCCATTATCATTATTAATTGTCTAATAATAGTATTATTTTTCAACGTCTTAAATGACCAAATCTAAAAAAGATTTCTACTAATGACATGTGCATCATGCAATAGAATTATCAAAGTCACTAATAAGTCAAGTTGTAGCAGAGATACCAATCTAGTCATTATAAGTTTTAAAAATTGCAAGTTCAAATCTTTTAAAAAGGCGAATTACAATAAAAATTAAAATATTACTTTCAAAATCGAAAAGCTTATGGTATAAGTATAATCACCAATAAGCCAAACTCTTCACAAAATTGTTTTGTAAAATAAAACCCAACTGAAAAGCTTATGGTATTAGCATACTTATAACAAAATTGTGTTGTAAAATTATAAATTTACTGAAAATATGTTCACTTTATGTATGGTTTATACATATTAAAAACAGAAACGTATAAATCTGTTTTTTTAATAATTAAAGATATATAATGTGTAAAGGCATATGTGGGGACATACAAATTGAACTCCAGTATCATTGAGGATTCCAATTCCAGCAGAAGCAAAGTTGGCACCAGCTAGGAGCTTGTCTCCCTTTAGCGACGGATGCAAGTATGGCAATGGGGACTCCATTCCCATATGCTCACCTTTAGATATAAAAAAAAACATATACAAGTTATTCATCTCATAAAATAAATATAATATCTTGTAAATGTTAATTAATATCTACCAACTTATAGGCAATGTCACAAAAATACACGGATTAATTGTCAACATTTCTAGTCTTTGTACTTTTTAAACACGCTGTGAATATTGTAACTTTTTAAAAATAGTCATATTGTACTAGTTACTAGTAATAAAAAACGCACTGATTAGATCTGGGATGTTAAGGCCATTAGAGAAGCGGCCAGTGGGACGATGAGTGGGATAGTCAATGCCATAAGGTGGTGAATCGGCTCTAGCAGTAGTGAATAGGAAGTCATTATTGCCATTATCAACTAGAGAGTCCCCAAAGACAAAGAAAGCCCGAGCCTCAGCTCCAAGAGGGACACTGAAAAACACCATTATCACTAAACAACACAAAGAAAACAAATGCTCCATTGATCAACAAAATCTAAGAACTTTTCTCAAAATTGTTTTAAAAATGTATGGATTGATCAAACCACAATGAGATGCCACTTTTTATAGTGATAGCGGTGGCGAACGATGGTACAAAATTAATGGGCAATTGCTACCACCACCGGAATGATGCCGGCATCGAAACTAGTGAAGTTAAATATGGATGTCTATAATGCATACTTTTGGGAATTGGGGAACTTGCTTTCACTTTTTAGGCATGGTGTAATGCCATGCAATGTTGGTCCAAATTTGTGAATAGGCCAAAGTTACTCGTGTGGAATTGGTACAATTGATAGGATAGAAACAGTGTCATTGTCGTAATCGGAATCCAAGTCGTCTGTACACCACCACCATGTGGTGGCGCAGGACCAATTATATAAGATTTATAGCGGATCTACTATGTACTCCCTCCGTCCCAATATTATTGTCCACAGACAAAAAACATACATACTAAGAAAAACATTAATTACCACTAACATTATTTAATAAAATGACAGTTTTGTCCTTACTTTGCATTTAATGTTCCATTAAATACTTAGTTTGTTAAGTAATAATGAGGGGTATTTTGGTAAAAATGTTATTTATTTTTAGAAGTAGACTATTATTTTGGGACAAACTAAAAAGGAAAGATTGGACTATAATTTTGGGACGGAGGGAGTATATATTAATGGAGAAGGTGCTTCTAATTATACATAATCTCTTTAATTTTTTCAATATTGGTTTGTGTCTCACACTCTCACTAAACAACCGTCGTATGTTCAAGACTTGCATGCCTCTAAATTAACCGGAATGATTTGATAATACTGTATTATATCTATATGTTAGATTGCAATTAATAGTATCAACCATTGCAAGCATGCATTGTTGTGCTTCAGGGTTGTCAAACTTTTGTGTCTAAATTACACGAAGATATATTTAAAAACATCAATGTATCCATTTTACTTTGACATTTATATAATTATATTTATCATATTTTTGTTTAAATTTAATTGAATATGGTTGTATCCATTCTGTGGGATTGAACATGAGTTTTGCTTTCACTGAGTTGCTGTGTTACATGATATGTTGAATGAGGATGGTGATTGATGAGCTACCAATGCATTTAGTAGGACTTTAAATATATGGGACATACAAACCGGAAACTGTATGTGACGGCAGGTCTTCCCGCTGTCTAAGGATGTTTCCGGTGCTCAATCAGATAATAAAACCAGATTGCCTAGTAGATGGGCACTAACCATGTGTACAGACTGTAGCCAAACACATACATACATACGCTGTATGCATACACAAACACAAATATATATATATATATATATATATATATATATATATGTATATATATATATATATATATATATATGTATATACTAGTTGTGTACTCGCGCAATGCAGCGGGACACAAATTATATTTTAAACAATTAAGTCAATAAGATTTTTGATTAATTTGGTTGGTATGATATTAATGGGTTGAGAGATTCGTTTTAATAATTTTGCATACAAATATTTTTGTATTTGGTGTCTCGATAAGTCGATATAAATGTTATATAAACCATTTTGACTATGTTGTAAAAATAATCATCTTACACTCTGCCAAAGTGAAAAATATGGGATTATGTGTTATTATTTTGGAAGGGGCATGTTAATGTAAACTTTGTATTTTTCATGTAAAGTTTTTACCACCAAATTTTATTTGGTGGAACCTAGTTATATCCATGTATTTATCAAAATTTATATGTAAAACAAAAGTAATTCTTGTGAAATGATAAGTTTTTAATTTTAGAGTAAATTACTGAAATCGTCCATATGGTTTGGTCAAAATTACACGTTTGGTTCCTAACTATTTTTTGCACTCGAATCGTCATTGTGTTTTTGATTTTGTTGCGTTTTTCGTTCCTCTTGTTTGATCAAAATTACATGTTTGCTGCCTAACATTATGTATGTAAGGAACGAAAAAGGCAACAAAATCAAACCACAGGGACGATCCGAATGCAAAAAAAGTTGGAACCAAACGTGAAATTTTGAACAAACCATAGGGACAATTTGAGTAATTTACTCTTATTAATTTTAACTCGTTTGAGTTAAAACTTCCAAACTTACTACAACTTGTAATTGGCTAATTTGATTTCTTTATGAGTCATCCACCAGTCCATATATTTATTTAATCTTTAGTAATATAACTTAATGCTTGTAATTGCTTTACCATGCTTTACGTGTAGAAATAAGATTTTTTTTTTCTTTTTGTTTTTCAAATAACTGCAACCTTTCTCATGTTTTATGTTGTAATTAAAACAATCATTTACAAAATGAAATTCAGTTTAAAAAATCCTCATATCAATGAATATGACAAATTCCTTTTCCTTTTCATTTTCCACTGTAAATAAACCATTTTTATCTACCTTTAATTGACTGCAACATTTCTTTCTCTTTTTCATTTACCGCTGTAAAGCAATCTCATGAATTGAATATGTCAAACTCCTAAACTCATATAGAATCAAAACTTAAGCTTTTATGAGAACTTAGAAGTATGTCGATGCAAATTCAAGAAGAGAGTTTAATGCAAGAAATAACGATGCGCTTTTTTTATTGAGCAATTAACTATCCACTTCAAAATTTTTACAATATTGATTAAGGCATTATACTTTTAACATGCCTTTCACTTTCACATTGGGTAACAAACTTAGCCAGCAGCTCCTACAATAGTACCCACCCTATTTTTAATTGCAAATGAAGCTCCTCCACTATAAAACAACATTCTTTCAGGCCCATCGCTTCCCGTAGTATGAAAAATCTATAAAATATATATACATGTGACAAAAACAATGTACATACGCTAAAACTTTGTGAATAATTTGGCAATAATAAAAAAATATTACCTAAGCCTTAATGATGATACTTACCTCAACCGGCTATGTTATATGCTTTACAGTCCATATTTTAAATGACCCATATTAAATTTCGGGTCTCCACTCTCCAATGACCATAGAACCAATATTAGAAAGAAGGGAGAAATAAACAGGGGAATGGGGCAGAAACCAAAACCAGGTTAAGACATAATCTCGTAATCGTTGCTAGCGACCTAGGTTGAGGTCTTCATCGGGGGCCTGCTAACAACTGCAACAAAATATGAAAGAAGATAACCATAAAAACTTTTGAGTGGTAGGTGTTCAACTGGTGTATATACATAACTATTCCTTTAACCATCATGAGAAGATGTATTTTTAACCATCATGATAAACTAATCATACCATTAATTGGAAAACTAATCGTTGAACTCAAGCACTATATTTTTATATCTTGATGACGCTCTTAGCTTCCTTTGAACCCCTTCAAGCCAAACACCTATCTCACCTGGTGAAAGTCCTCCATAACTTCCACTTCTTAACTTTATCCTACACGAAAAAAAATCATTACATGACAGATTACATTACTATAAACCAAAAGACCATAAAACTAAAAATCCAACATGAAAAAATCAACATTTTCACTAACATGTGCACTATACGCGGTCCCTAACAAGGACTTCTAATATTAGATATTCCATGTCCAAAATGCAAACAAAGAGAAATGGAAAACAATTGACCAACATTTCCACTATACCCGATCCCTTAATTTAGTAAATTAATCAAAAAGAAAAGGAAAAATAGAACATAAACTAAACAAAATACCAGGTAGTGTAATGGTTACCCTGAGTTTATAAGGTTTGTTGGACAAACTATACACACATAAATCAAAAAATTGTCAAATAAGTCGTCATTCTGCAATCATCAAAAAAATTATGAACAACAAAACAAAGATCAAGATACATGGTATTAAAAAAACCTTTCCAGGCATGTCAAAAGGAAATTATATGGTTAAGATATCATAAACAAAGAAGTGAAATACTTTTAACCAGGAATTGCCCCAACATAGAGCAGGGAGATGAACTCGTAGTTGGTCACGGGAGCGTAGAAACTGTAGAAAGCGATCATGCGCTAGAAATAGAGAGATAGACGAAGAAATATATGAGTGATTACAATATATCAATAATCAGGCAATACCGATGGCGGAGCATGGCGGCAGAAGTGTTAAATGGATTTAGATGTTTTGAATTTTACAGAAAGAGTCGTGGATGAGGGATTTATGCTTTTTGGTGAAGAAAATATATGTTTAAGTATGTGAACCCTAAATGTGAGGAAAATTAGGAGTGACCGAGATTAAGAGAATAAAGATGGAAAGTACATTAATTTAATAGAATTGTTGTTTTAAAAAGAAGTATGTTTTAGCTAGTTGTACATTGTGTTTATATATTTGTACCTCTTAATTTTCAAGAAAGAGGCAATATGTTTAATAATATAGTATATATATATATATATATATATATATTATATATATATATATTATATATATATATATATATATATATATCTCCGTGCGGACTCGAAATACGATGAGGATTGCAAGGACAATTCTCGTCCAATCGTGTTCATTAAGGGTAATTCCGTCAAACAAAAATTGAACTGGTCTGGAAAAATTAAATGAATTTGGTTGGGCTTGGCAAAAATAGAAATTGAATTAGGTTACACTGGAAGAGAATAGGCTGAGAATGCATGTTCGTCGTCTTCCTTTGTCCATCAAGCAAATACAAAGACAAATGAAAATACATTGAAATCATGATCGTTTCTACATTCTACAATTACTCATATGATCGGGTTACTTTCATTTAATTAAATTTCCTTTTGTTTGATCAATTAAAAAAAATTAGTTGAATCAAGAATATAAAGCTCTGTTTTTTTTACAAATTTGATTCCTTCAAATTTCTCTTTCAATTCTCGAACAAAAAATGATATTATTTTTGTTTTTTGAAATCACGTTGATTCCTACAGTTAATCACTATGATCCAATGTAATTCCTGAATGAAAAACATGATTTAGAAAAGCTAATTAGTATCTGTTTTAGAATTTTTAGATTAAAAAATCTATTTTTTGCAATTAAAAATTGATTTAGTTTAATCAAAATTCTTTATTGATTAAACTAATTGTTGAACAATAGCAAATAGTTAGGATCTAGATTATGCTATATGTTTATGATTGATCATGATCTTTACAGGAAATTAGAAATCTAAAACTTATGTTTAATG